CCGTTATCGGTTATGATGGAGTTCGGTACTCCAAACCGACAAACGATTGATTTCCACACAAAATCGATCACCTTTTGTTCAGTGATGGTTGCAAGAGGTTCGACCTCAACCCATTTAGTGAAGTAATCAGCAGCTAATATTGCAAACTGAACGCCCCCTTTTGCTGTCGGAAGTGGGCCAATCAAATCAATTCCCCATTTTGCGAACGGCCATGGGCTATATATTGACTTGAGAAGTTCAGGATGTTGATTAACGTTGGGAGCAAATATCTGACACTTGTGACATTTTCGCACCCAGTCTGTGGCATCCTTCCTGATAGTCGGCCAGTAGTAGCCTTGTCGGAGAATCTTGTGGGATAAAGCTTGAGCTCCTTGGTGGGTACCGCAGACTCCTTCGTGTACTTCTTGAAGAACCCGTCGAGCGTCAATCTCCGACAAGCACTTAAGCAATGGAATAGAATATCCACGCTTATATAACGTTCCTTGATCAATAGTGTAATGAGCAGCACAAACACAAAGAGTGCGAGCTTCCTTTGGGTCTTCGGGTACGGCCCCGGTTTGAAGATAGTTGACGATTGGATCCATCCATGTCAGATCTGGGATTGGTGAAACAGTGTCAATCATGATGACGTCGGTAGAAACCGTTGAGGAGATCGCCTGTTGAGTAATTTGCACAAACTCAACATTGTTCAAATCGGTTGAAGAGGCCAAACGTGAAAGAGCATCTGCTTGGATATTCGATGACCGAGGTATATGTTCTAACGTCATTTTGAACCGTGATAGCTTCTTCATAACGAGATCGAAATAAGGTAACAATCGTGGTTCCTTAACTTCGTAAGTGCCATTAATATGGCTGACCAATAACTGAGAGTCAGAAAATATCTGGAGAGAGGAAACATTCATGGATTCAGCAAAATGTAGGCCCGATAAAGGGCCTCATACTCAACTTCATTGTTAGTGGCCGGGAAAGTGAATGCTACAGAGTAACAAAACACCTGTTGATCAGGACTAACTAAAACAATCCCTCCTCCAGCTCGTATAGAAGTGGACGATCCATCAATGTAAATAGTCCATGTCGGATCTTCAACGGATGCATTGGCAATTGGAGTAAATTCAGCAATGAAGTCAGATAACACTTGAGCTTTGATAGCGGATCGTGGTCGGTACTGAATATCAAACTGTCCAAGTTCTATCGCCCACTTAATCATTCTCCCGATGTGTCAGGTCGGTGAAGGACTTGTCGAATAGGGTATGATGTAAACACGATAATAGAATGTTCCAAAAAATATGGGCGTAGCTTCCGGGCGGCGATGATCAGAGCAAAGGCTAACTTCTTCATATACAGATATCGCAATTCAGCTTCATGTAAGGGTTTGCTAATGTAATATATCGGGAACTGTTGAAGCCCATCTTGTCGTATAAGAACAGCACTAACAACAACGTCACTTACACCCAAGTACAAATACAAAGGCTCATCAGGTAGAGGTTTCTGCAACGTCAGTAATCGTGAGAGAACTTCTTTGATGTTGTCAAAAGCATTCTGACATTCCACGGTCCATTCGAACGGCTTCTTCTTTCTGATAGCGTCAAAGAACGACTTACAATGATCCGTCGACTTTGAAATGAATCGATTTAGAGCTTCCAGTCGACCAGTTAAAGCTTGGACACCCTTAATAGATGTCGGGGGAGCCAATTCAAGTATGGCTTGGATCTTGGCAGGATTGGCTTCGATCCCTCTCTGACTCACCATATACCCTAAAAATTTCCCCGATCCAACTCCGAAAGTGCACTTCTTAGGATTAAGAACCATGGAATATTCTCGGAGAATGTCAAAGACTTCAGAAAGATGATGAAGATGATGATAATTGACCTGTTAACCCGAAAAGAGCCCGCGCAAACGATAAGGAGGTTTTCACATTTTCTACTTTTGTTGGAACTTCGTCCGATAACTATAAAAAATCCAGGACACATGATACTTCAGACTCTTCGCATTGCATACCTCGAGTCAATTCTAACAATAAACAGCTGGACACTTCTTGACGGAAAGCCAAAGCCTACGCCAGGGAGGCACAAAACGCCGAGAAACGAGTCATGAACGTTGATCTCCAAGATACCATCAATAATCGGAATTGTCCTATCACATTCAGTATCGAAGACGCCAACTTATTTGCTCATCCTCATTCTGACGCCCTTATTGTAACAGCCCCGATTGGAGGGATTCCTGTTCATCGAATTTTGGTCGACACAGAAGCTTATTCAAGTATTTTGATGCTCCGTACTTTTAAGAAATTGGGTTTGGACCCAGCAGATATTAGACCTTGCAACGACCAAATTCAAGGTTTCAATGGAAGCATCTCTTGTCCCGTCGGCGAGATATCACTCCCTATTCGATTAGGCGGTTTTGGACCAAAGTCCAAGATTATTATGGAAACTTTCAAAGTCTTGGATGTCCAGACTGAATATAATGCTGTTATAGGGCGAACTGCACTTTACAAGCTCCGTGCTGCCGTGTCAATTTTTCATTATGCTTTGAAGTTTCCTACTATTGAAGGAAAAGGCACTCATTACGGAGATCAACGAGAAGCCCGGAGTCTGACGTTGCTCTCAACCTCGCGTAGCTTTCATGTGATTGAAGAGCAGGATACTGATAACTCTATTGGGTTGAACAACCCAACTCTTAATGCTGAAAGAACTGATCAATTCGCTCTAGATACCGACATCCCTCTTGCAGTGACCGATGTCCCTATGACGTCGGATTTGTCTGAAACACTAAATGAAGCCCTTGACCAAGAACAACCTTTTCATAAGAAAGACATAGGAATACACGAAGATATGGATCCACGAATGCAGTTCAAAGATGGAAATCATCATGTCCGAGCGGAACCAGTTGAAGACGTCGAAATTATTTACGTGGATGGATTGACTCAGGAAAAATCATTGCGCATTGGAGCTAACCTTTAAGAACCTACACGGTCGAGCTTAATTCAGTTTCTTCAGTCAAATGCCGACGTATTCGCTTGGAAGCATGAAGACATGAAAGGAATTGACTCGCAGAAAGCGTGTCATTGCTTGAATTTGGACAAGACTGTCAAGCCCGTCATACAGAAACGCCGGAAATTCGGCCCAGATCGCTAGAAGGCTCTTGAAGAGAAAGTAAACAAGCTCATAGACAATAAGTTCGTCAAAGAAGCCAAATACCCGACGTGGATATCAAATCCTGTCCTGGTTAAGAAAGCCACCGGCCTTTGGCGCTTGTGTATTGATTTCTCAGATTTGAATCAAGCATGCCCGAAAGATAGCTATCCAATTTCACACATTGATTTAATGGTGGACGCTACATCGGGACATCAACTTATGAGTTTTTTGGATGCCTATTCCGGTTAAAATCAAATTCCCATGCACCCTGATGATGCTGAACATACGTCGTTCTACTCAGCCCGAGGTCTTTATTGCTATGTCATGATGACTTTCGGATTGAAGAATGCTACTACATGAACAGTTAAATGAGATAGAATTTTTTTGAATATCATTGTCTGTGTCCCCTCTGGCTGGCGAACTTTTTTTCCTTTTATATTTATTTACAACATTTATCTAATATGTAATCATTACACGAGAATAGTCAACGGCGGCTAATTGCCATTCATCCTGGTAACGTGCCACTTGGCCAAGTGTAAAGATATCGGAGGAACAGTTGCAAAACCGACATGTCTCACTTGCTCAAGACTAAATGATTATTAGGGAATTTTCAGCATCACTGCCCGTCTTTTTCAAGACAACCATTAATGCTGGGGGCCACCTTGTTGACATCATTTTCAGTAAACCGAATTATGCGACGCTGATCAGATGATTATGTTCAGTAGGAGGATGATTGAATTCGTACAAGTAGATGATGTCTTCGCGGATTTCAAGACAATCACATATCGGGTAAAAATTCATCAAGAACCGACATCGTCGTCAATTGACCGATATCTCATGTCAGTTATGACATGTCGGTTACTACATGTCGGATATGACATATCGGTTATAACTACACGAGCTGATATCTATGACTTGCTAGACCGACACCACGAGGCGGTGCCAACTCAGCACAACTCATTATTACACCTGGCCAAGTGGCACGTTACCAAGATGAATGGCAATTAGCCGCCGTTGACTATTCTCGTGTAATGATTACATATTAGATAAATGTTATAAATAAATATAAAAGGAAAAAAAGTTCTCCAGCCAGAGGGGACACAGACAATAATATTCAAAAAAATTCTATCTCATTTAACTGTTCATGTAGTTTTTGTTAATCTATCTTGAATTTACAATAAAGCCCTGTTGATTATCTAGTTGTTAGTTCCCGTTTAACAACAATAGTTTCAAAATGTTGCCACCATCCTCCCAATCATGTATGTATCTGTTTCTCCATTTGTAATCTGCAAAGCCTAAACCAAATAAAAAAAAGTTATATGTAATCAGTCACTGTAAAATTACCTTGTTTTTCTTTCTGTGAGTAAATGGATATGTATATTTTTTAGAAGGATATCATATAGCTCTTAACAAATAAAAAACTTTGTGTATATGTAGTACAATTCTTTAATTAAGTATTTTTTTCTGTTGATCGTTCTTTAATTATGAAACTATATATTATTTGTTAATTATTTATCTTCTGTTGTTTACGACTACTTACACAAAATATTGAAAGAATCAGTTCTGATGTTTACGAATACTTACACAAAATATTGAAAGAATCAGAGAGGGTAAATATGCATTGATTTCACGGTTAAAAGAGTACTAATTAAGATTTACTCACATTAGTCGGAGACAAAAACATGTCTCCTTCCTTTTTTTTTTTTTTTTTTTTTT